CGACGACGACGACTACTATTACTTACTACTACTACTACTTCTGCTACTACTACTACTACTGCTGCTTCTACTTCTACTTCTACTTCTACTTCTACTTCTACTTCTACTTCTACTTCTACTTCTACTCCTACTTCTACTTCTACTTCTACTTCTACTTCTACTTCTACTTCTACTGCTACTGCTACTGCTGCTGCTACTACCGCTGCTGCTGCTGCAACTACTACTACTACTCCTCCTGCTGCTGCTGCTGCTGCTGTGACGACGACAAATTTCTACTACTTACCCCTACGAATAGATTCTCAACAGAACCGCCGAAAGCCCTGCATGCGAATCTGTATAGAACCCCTTACCAAAGAACTCTGACTCTAATCGTAATCGCAGAAGAATACGTACCATGGCAACTTGGGCCGCTTTTTGGCCGTCTCTCCAGCTTGCTCGTAGACCGTCGCCGTGAGGCTCCTACGAGGGGTGAGCGGGATTTGGGGTTGAGGCTTTGGGGCTTCGTGTTACACGCATGACATGGAATCGGGTTGAGATTCTGGGGCTTTGTGGCTGCTCGGGTTCTTCTTTCGGGTTAGGGGCGACGGTCGTCGTCGTCGACATTGTTCGTAGTTGAAGCAACTGGGTGGAGGGAATTCGGATGTCCATCCCCGAAGCCCCACTAGCAACCACCACCCAAAATACCAAAGTGTGGCGATTGCAGAGTCCGTTCGGTTGGCTGTCCTGAAGTATGAACCGACATTCCCGGCTGATCCTGGGCCCTACCATGGATCCGTGGTTGGTTAAGTGTAAGTTTAACGAGCCTTCACACCTCAAAACTATGGTTTAGGGGTATATTTTGGTAGAAAAGTAACAAGGAAGCCTACAAACAACGGTGGCAATTGCTCAAGCTTCTATATCTGGCTGGCCCAGTTAGGCAAGCCTTGATCCCTGATCAGCAGCTCACGTTCAGAGCAGTCCTGACGGCATCGAGGACATCGCGAACTGGCATTGTGATGTTGAGCGACTGATGAAGCCCAACACCCTGGAGCATGACCTGAAACTTGGAGCTCGAAGTTCGGTTTGGAGCTGGTGGGTTGTCTCTGTGCTTTCATTCAATCCGGCCCTGGCAAGGAAGCTTGCAGAGAAGGCAATGCAACTAACGCCTATGTAGGGGAAAGATCTTAGGCAGTCATGAGGGCCAGGTGTGACCAGATACCGATTCCACTGCTGTCCTCGTCCTGCGAAAGCGATTCCGCTGAATGCCTACCAGCACAACATCTCGAACACGGGATTACGCCCGAAAGCGCTAAAGCCATCAAATTCCTGCAGCGCCGAAGCACCGAAACCCTCAACCCCTCAACCTTACTGAAGCCCTTTTCAAGCATGGGCCCTTACACCCTCAAACCCCAAACTTTGGGTCCCCGCGATCTTTCAAAAAAACCGAAGCTACCCTAAACCCTCAACAGGTACAGTAGAAGCCAGAAAGTTGGAACATCATGATCCTAATAATGTAAAGCACAAGGAATCCCAGCACGAATCATCCTAAATCCATGTTCCAACTTTCTGAGGTTCACTATGTAAGCCCCAAACCCTGAACCGTGGCTCTAAACCCCCCAAAGGCTACCCTGAACCCGCTTGAGGCGACGGCCAAGCGGTAGTGGAACCCGAGAGCATAACCTTTGAGAATGGTCACTCACGGGAATTCTGGGCTTAGGGCTTTAGGGCTGTAGGGGTGTAGGGCTTAGGGGTTTGAGGGCTTAGGGGTTCAAGGGTTTAGGGGTTTAGCGTTTAGGAGTTTAGGATTCAGAGTTGTTCTATCAATTCGGGGGCTTAGGGCTTCAGGTTTTGCTGGACACTCACACTCGGACAAAGCCTGGCAAGGTCTGCAGCGAGATTGTCAGTCCAATCTCAGGGTTTAGGGGTTTAGGGGTTCAGGGTTTAGGGGTTTCGGCGCTCACACGCTTAGGGTTTAGGGGTTTACTGTAGGCTTTTGGGGCTTAGGCTTGTTTTATAAATTGTTTAAGCGGCTTTTTGTTGAGCCTTATGGAGCCTTACAGTGTTTCAATATACGGGCATTGGCATTACGGTTTTAACGGGGTTTGGCGATGCGCTGTGCTAGAACTACGAAGGGATGAGATGAGAACACGATTACTACAAAATCCTCCTGCTGTCTCGGTTGACATGGCTTAAGACGGCTGGGCGAGTAAACAGCCACTATAAACGGACAAGTGCTTTTGAGCTCCTGGCTTTAGGGTTTTCGGATTTAGAAGGGCTTAAAGCGTGTAAGGCTTTACCCACTACCCAAGCAATCGCGAATTTTTAAAACAGAAAAATACCATGAAATACCACGCACCGATTGACTCCCAGGGCAGGACGAACAGCATGTTACTTCTTACTCTCGATTTTTCATCTCTGATTTTGGGAAAGAAACAAGAAGCTCTCCCAAATCCAAATCTTCTCAAAGTACGATGGACAACCTACTGGAGACAATAGTAACTACTAATAAAAAGTAGTGGTACTACTTCTTATACAGACCCAAGCCCCGTAACCTTAGACACCCCTAAACCGCAAAGGCTAAGCCCCCACTCGAGGTCTAGACTGGCTGTGCATACTGCCCAGAAAATCTGTTACAATGAAAATCTAGGCCTTGCCCTAACAGTTATTAACATTTGCGTTGCTGTGTGGAGGAGGTTCAGGGCTTTAGACTTACAGTCTCGGGTGGGGGGGGCGGTTAGGGTTTAGAGACAATTTAACATGTGGGGCTTGGGGGGAGGCTTGGGTTGTCTTTGTTGCCTCCTAAATCGCAAGGACACAAAGCCCGCAATCAAGCACCCTAAACCCTAAACCCTAAACCCTAAACCCTAAACCAATTTACGTTGGGGCTTAGGGACTTAGGGTTGATCCCTAAACCCAAACCGTATGCCCTAAACTGTCAACTTTTAACCCCTTTCTTACACCGGCTTGATGATTGCTCGCCCTAAACCCTAAACCTTCAACCCATTCGGGATTTTTGGGATATTATACTAAATTATAACAAGGAACCCCCAAAATAGTACAGGTAATCATTAAGACCCCTATATCGGGGTTTCGGGATCAGGGACATTCCTGCATGCAAGCCACTGTTGTGCGCTGTGTACTGCGAATGAGGCTCCGGCCTAGTCCGTACTTCTAGGGTTTATGGGGGTTTTGGGTTTTGGACGTTTCAGGGTTGCCATTTTTTTGTTGCGGGCTCCTTTTCTCGCTGCTGTTGCGACACTAAACCCCTAAACCGGTCCTATACCAGGATGAGCCATGAAGGCTTACGCTTATGGGGTTTCGACTCGCACGCTCGCACAAGCAGGCATGGATTCCCTAAACCCTAAACCCATGCCAGCTTCCCTGAGGCCAGGTCTCTCAGAACAACTAATCTGCTGTGGGGTTTAAGTTTGGGCTCTCACGGCTCGCAAAAGGCACCGAGGAATCCCCCAGTCTGGGTACCACGAGACTCAGAACGATCAAAAGCCCAGGAACGGTTGTAGGGAGACTTATAGTAACTTACGAGGGACGAAAACAAACATCTCTCTGGGCCCTGGATGGGTTCTGCCGGGTTCATGGAGTCCTAGGGGCTTCGTAAGCAAGTTCTTGCGCAGGTTATGAGCAGAGGCATGCTTCGGATACCCAGCGCGCCCTAATCTCCGATACATGATCCCTTGGAACCTCAAATATCGCTGTCTTGCTAGGCCAGCTGTGGCTTGGGGCTTGGCTTTAAGGCTTTAATGTTTTTCAATTTTTCTAGGGTTTGGTGCAGTAGGCTTTCGGAGCTTAAGCAATCAAAGGGTTTCAGGGTTGAGGCAATTTCAGGGTTGACATCTCCACATGGTTGAAACGATTGCGGTGATGAGGTCATACCTATCAGCCCGTCAACTCAGTGCAGCCGGACTCCTCCGGTGCTTCTCATGCACATAGGTGCTACCAGTCGTGCCCTTTCTCCTTTCCGTGCGATTTTCGTCTTAGGGCTCTTCATGCCGGGTTTCTCGTTCACAAAATTTAATGACGGGCTCAGCCGGGCGGTGGCTGGAACTCTGCCAAAGGCCAGCCACCGGCGCCCGCAATCGTTCAGGAAAGCCACGGTTTCAAAATGGAAATCTTACTGCCACTGTTCTGCACACGTCAGCAAGGTTTATCCGGAAATCCATTGCAAGGACGCTCTCAGACTTGGTTAAATAACTCCTGGGTGTTGTTGCTGCAGCGTGACCTAAAGAGGAAATCCCAATCCTCTGCTCACTGATAAGTTCAGCTGTCCCGTCTCGGAACCGGGCAGATTGATGTCAATGATCCCGGTGCCGGGGCGGCAGAACCTCGGCATAGAGCGCGGGGTTGAGGTGGACTCCTGCAGACTCAGAGTTTAGTGCATTTGGATGTGTTAAGCGTGTACGGGTTGTCAAGGTTTGGGATCAACGAAAGAAGCCTAAACCCTAAACCCTAAACCGAGCGTTACATGCAGGCTCAGTTGGGACTTTCAGAAACAATGGTCTGCTGATATCCGTACATCCAAGGATCCTTAAATAGAAGGAACCCCACATAAACAGAGCGATATGATATAGGGGCCTTCATAATCAGAACAAGGTTGTTGTATGATATACTCCAACTTTCGCAAGGCACTTAACGAATTCAGGCTTCGAAATTTCCCTGGGTTCTGAAACATAAAATTTTAACTGAGGTTGCAGCACCACGTTGGCTTGACCAGAGCCATGCCTGACGAAACAGCAGGGCTTCGGGGGTTTCGGGTTTACGGGTTGCGGGGTTCAGGGTGCAGTGCTTTCAGGGTTCAGGGTCTAGGGGTTCGGGGTTTTAGCGCTCACACTCGGGCAATCCAGCCGCGGCATATTATGGTTTGGGGGTTCCGGAGTTCCGGGGTTCCGGGGTTAGGAACTGTAGGGGTTCAGGGTTTATAGGGTTTTTCGCTCTCACAGCGGGGCTCAGGGCTTCAGGGGTGGAACATAGAATATAATGTAGGGGCCTTAATAATTAGAATAGGGTTTTCAGGTATATTATACCATAACTATAATAAGGAACCCCAAAATAATGTAGGTAATTGTAAAGGCCTCTATAGTAGCTTCAATCATGCAGGATGCCGGCGAAGTTGCGCACACGTGTTGAAAAGGGGTGGCGGGCGAGCCCGAAATAGCCGGAGCCATGTGGGGAACACTGACTATTGAGCGCACGCTTTGTGTAGACCAACCGTGGGGCAAGTTCTTATACTTTCAAAACCCCAAACCCTACACCGTAAACGCTTCCTTATGGGACCGGGTTTTGCTTCTGCACGACCGCTTCCGACACACACTCGGCTGTCGTAAACCCGACTAACTTTGGAATCATAACCATGCCGCCACGATGCACTCCCACCACAATGTCGGCTGAGCGGAAAAGCTCCACGGTTTCTCGCGCAGTCGGCCTTTGCAGCTCGGGACGTAGGGGGAGTTTTGATCCCTGTCAGGTGAGAGTGAAGCGGTGTGCAAACACACTGCCTATTGATGCAACTACTTTGTGTTCCGGGACGTCTCCGCTTATGATCTTGGATGAGCCTCACTGTTGGGCGTCGACTTCAAGCATGCATTCAGTCGGTCAGTCAGTCTAGTCGTATGCAGCTAACCATGCAACACTCGACCACAATCGCATGGCATTCTCTTTGAGCGCTGCGCGTACTTTGAGTTGTGACTGTCCACGAAAGGTTCTAAACATGAACGGACGATAATGGACGGGCTCATGCGACCTAAACAAAAACACTGAGCGGGGCCTTGGGCAAAAATGCTCCAGACGTAGTCACGTAGTCAGCCGGCATGATGTTTCAAGTTCCAGAAAGATCCAACACTGCCCCATGAACACACGCACACCACAGCACGCCTTAAAACTCATGGTATAGAGTGTAGCGCGGCTTTCCCAACCGCCACGATCCTTACAATCATCATCACGATCATCCAAGATTTGTTGGGGCACAATGCTATTGTCGGTATAAACAGACTGCACCCCTGTACTCACATTAAGGCGGTGTCTAATTCATGCTGGCACCCACAGGAGTTACGGAAAGACGCGATCCCAGTGTATGCCTCTGGCCCCAAGTGGTAGGATCCTGTTTCTGAGGAAAGAAATTTGAGGTGGAATTTGGTGCCCCTGCCTTTTCACAAAAATCTCCCTCGATGAGCCCTAAACTAAAGAGAGTTCTCGAGTTGGGGAGCCACCTAAGCGCCCCACAAGTATTTATAACTAAGCACCTCAAAAGTTAAAAGAAGCTTGGGACAGTTTTGATGGTTTCCCAAACTGCCACCTTGTAAGGTTTGGTGCTAAGGTTTCGCAGGACCTGACGCCGAGTGCAAGGCAAAGGGCTGTCCGAGAAGATCTGCAGAGCCCAGCCTCACAGGCACCCGTTTTTAGGGCCCCTTTCATGCTACCTTGAAGGCTTCCTTTACGGGTTCCTCTAAGGTATGTTGTGGGCAGGGGTTCGGTTTTAGGAAGGCAAAGCCGATTTACTTATTATTTCTGGCCTCTGAGAGAGCCTTCAGGCGTCTCGGGTTTCCGCAAGTCTCCGGCCCAAAACACAACCCTCATGCCCTTCAAAACCCTCCTGCCCTTCAGCAACCCTAAACTGCTAAACCTCTGAGAAAAAGCATCCATAGCCCGAATGGAGCGCACCATCGCCAAGAAGTCCCATCATGGCGTGCAGGAGTTCGGCTTCATTGGCTACCCGGCGCGTGGTGGCCTCGGCTGGGCTTGGGGCTCAGGGCATGCGTGTATGCGTGCATGCATGTAGTCAAAAACACTGTGTGTACACATGTATCTATATATATATATATGTACAAATACCAACATATGTGATATACTGTTATGCGTGTATGTGTGTGTGTGTTTATCTATACATATATATATATATACACACATATACCTGACTGGCACAGCACAGCACTTGGTTGTAGCATGCATCCGTCACTGTCAAAGGAGACACATCCCAACAACACGACTGAGTCCAACTTCAGGATTTGGGGCTCCAGCACAGAACTTACAGGGTAGGGCGATGACAGGCCAAGTGTCGACTCTTCATAGCCCATTTCGGGTGATCGGACTTCGCTGGATGAGGTTCGTGGCTGGTTTTGCTCACGGAAGTTTCGGATGTATAGGGCCTGCGTAGCACCAAACCTACAAACCACAAGCCCTAATGAAAGTCCAATCATAAAAAACAGAAGCCTTAATAAGAACCCCTCAACAGATACCCAAACCCTTTGGTGTGAGACTGTTTTAAAGGAAACTACAGGTGGGGAGTTTAGGGTATATAGGGCTTCTATAAGGCTTCCATAAGGTATATAGAGACCTTCTATACGGCTCCTTTTTCCGGTAACTACCCACCTGAAAATGTCCCAGACTGTTGCAGGCCTTACCAAACCCGTCTCGCCATCTTAGGAGGTCACCACGGCCCGCTGGATCCAGAGCAGCTTCTTCTTGCCTCTGCTGTCCCAATGGCAAGCTAATTTTTTTAGGGCTTAGGGCCTTAGATAGGTTGTCCCAATGGCAAGATGGAGCTAATTTGTTTTTGGGCTTAGGGCTTTAGGGTTTACTTATTATTACTGTACCTCTCAATGGAGCTAATTTTTTTAGGGCTTAGGGCTTTAGGATTTACTTATTATTACCTCTCAATGGAGCTTTTTTTTGTGAGGGCCTTTTCCGTCTTGCGAAGAGAGCCTCAATGAGGAAGGCGAGTTTTGTTTTTAGCGCCTAGGGGTTTTCGACTCTCACTCTCGCGCTCGCACGCTCTCGCAACTCGGACAGGCCAGGCGAGGTTTCATAGGTGCGGTTCGGCGCGACACAGGATTGCATGTTCCCAAGATTTAGGGGTTTAGGGGGGTTCTGGCACATAGTCAATGTAACCGAAAACGGATCATCATTTACCACAGCCATGCCGCCTGGCGTGGCAGGAGGCGGGGAAGAGCCGAAGACGCGCCAAGTCGCCAGGTCACGCCTGATCTGGGGACTCTGCTTAGTCCAGTTTGTGGGCTTTTGAAGTTCAGGGTCTTCCGTGCATAAGCTGCTGGCTACGGCTTAGGGCTCGGAGGGTTTAGATTTGAATTTCGGTGTAGGGCGCGGTCTTGGTCGAACGCGTCTGCCGAACTCCCTAAACCCTAATGTAGGGGCCTTCATGATTAGAATAGGGTTTTGGGGTATATTAGACCACAATTATAATAAGGAACCCCAAGATGGTATAGGTAATTCTTAACGCCCTTACATGAAGATCCGGAAGGCGGCTCAGACAAGCTCAGCGCCGCACAGCCGTTGCAGCGCCCAGCGAGGGGGAAGCAGGAAGACATCCTCCCTCCGAGAGGAACCCGGTGCATCCTGGTCACATCCGATCTTGCACTGCATGTAAAGCCTATACCAGTAGAATAAGGGCCTTAACAGTTAGAATAGTGTTTTGGAGTATATTGGTATATTATACTATAGTTATAACAAGGGACCCCCAAAATAGTACTCCCCTAAACCCTAAACCCTAGGTAAATCTTGAAGTCCTTACAGTAACTTCAGTTCACGGTGCCGGTCGCCTGCCAGTCGACCATGTGCAGCCTCGGGGAAAGCAAAGGGGTTTAGGCTTTGGGGGGTCACTTTGCCGTGCCAGGGAGGGTAGACGAGGCTTGTGGGGCTTTTTTCGGGGAGGCACATGAGGATTCAGGGCTTAGGGATTACCTGAAGCTACCAGATCCTACTGTCGTTTAGGGTTTCTAGTTTATAAAAGGAAGAACCTACAAAAAGTAAGTTATGGTAGTTTAAGGTAGGGTTTAGGGACTAGCAAGCACTATAACCGAAAAGCCCAAAGTCTATGGCCGTTACATTCCGCAGCCCGTGACCCTAAAATCCTGAAGGCCTGAACCACCAAACCCTAAATCCGCAAAGCCCAAAGGGCCTAATGTAGGAGTTACCAACATTATTTTGGGGATTCCTCATTATAAATATCGTATATTTGGCCCCAAAACCCTATTCTAATTATTATAAGGCCGGACATCGAAGCCCCCCTTCATTGGGCCTTTAAAGTGAGCGCCTCACTGGTGGACGAGGAAGCGGGGCTCTGCCACACGAGCCGGGCCCATGAAATGAGGCCGCACCTGGGTAATGTCAGGGCCTCAATAATTAGAGGTTTAGGGTTCAGGGTTTAGGGTTTTGGGGGGTTCCTTATCATTATTGTAGTATAATATACCGCAAACCCTGATATAGAGGTCTCAATAATTACCTGTACTATTTTGGGGTTCCTTGTTTTTCTTCTAGTATGATATACCCCAAACCCTATTCTAATTGATAAGGCCCCCATATTAAGCTATGTATGGGCCTTCATATATTCAAAACGCTTCCCAGTTGAGGGTTCCTTTGACGGCTCTATAAGGGTCACTATAGGAGTGTACAGGATTCCTAAGCGGATTTAAGGAATCCACAAGGGAATCTGAAAGGGGGGGAGGGTTCACCAGAGGGGTTTCTACATGGGTTCTGTCAAGCGTCCTTTTTTCGGGACCCTCTTCGGGTCCTACAGGGGGCCTCGATGATCAGAATATGGTTTCTTCTGCTAAAGGCTCTTCAAGAACAAATGTTTCTATAAGGTTCTATCAAGATTTTGGGCAAGAACACCGTGAGACAATGGGGTTAAGGGGTTACGATTTATTCTGATTATTCAGACTTCTATGTCATGGCTGAACAGGGATTTGGCTTTAGGATTTTAAGCTTTTCGAGCGCTTCTAGTCTAAGGATTCAGGGCAGCAGTGGCATGGGACTTGTGAAATTTTGTGACGCTCACCCTCGGATGAACCCAGGCAAGATCTGTGGGCTTTAGGGCTGTAGGATCTCAGGTGTTGTCCTAACGAGGTGTTTCGAGTTTTGACGACATTTGGGATTTAGGGTGTAACCAAACTCAAGAAGCGTCACGCTTTGAGGCTTCGACATCGTACGGTATCACTTCAAAGCCTGGCAGCAGGCGCAAGCGTAGCATGCAAGAGCTGTGCGGGCCTTGTGAGAGAGACCCCACAGCCTCCGAGCAGCGTCAGCCAGTCGTACATGAAGGGCTTCAGTTGCCCACGGTCTGCAGGAACCTCAAACGGGTGCCAGGACAAGATGTGCCCTTTCTTGTCTAAACTCGCTGAGGCAAGAAACACTAAGCTCAAGGCAAGCAAGGGTATGCGCTGCTGCCTCACCTGGTGCCAAGGCATCTGATGCTTTGGCTGCGCGTTTCTTGTCATCAGGGCCCCTGCAGTCAGCCACACCGCCAGACGAGCCAATTCATCGACCAGGAAGCTGAAGAAATTCGCAGGGAACATGACCAGCAGCCACAACCTCGCATCTCAGGATGGACTCGTGTGGGGGTTTCCGAAAATGGGGGGCCCTAAGATAGCACCCTAAATAGTAGGATCCTTATTACAAGGACCCCCATAATGAGGTGCCCCTTATTTTCGGAAACTCCCGTGTTGACGCTGAGTCAGACAGGCAAGCTGCAGTCATGTCTTGCACCTGATGCCCCACTTAAGTGCAACCCTGCCCAGAAACGAAGAAAGAGGTACGTGCCAGGCCACCCTTGAATTCACAAGACCACAGAACCCTGAATCCTAAACCCGAGACCAAAATGCGTCGTTACTGCGATCGTACCCTAAGCCCTACGCCTCCAATACAGGGGCCTGTGTAATCCGAATTGCTCTTTTTTTTTGTGAAGGGGGAGGGTATATTATACTATTATACTATATGCAGAACATTTAGGAACCCGAAGAAAAAGCATTACCATAATATCTATGCCGACCCCTATTCTACAAAGAAGACAGAGCCCCATGGTTCAAGTGAGAATCGGACGCGACTGGCAGCCATCTAACCGGCTCGGCTGGTACCGCCGGGGTCGGTAGGTTCCTGGAAATGGCAAAACTCGAAGACTCAAGCTGCAATTGTTTAGGCATAATCTCAACACTCAGGCTTCCCAAGAGACCCGGGAGGTTCTGGAGTTTTGTGCAGGGATATGTGCTGAGGTTGGGTTGTCCTCACCCCAAAGATTCAAAACGGATAGCCAGAGGAAACTTTGCTCTTCGAATCGAAACAGCTATATGGGGCATTCGGCAGTGCGACGCACACGAAGTCATACTGATCCCCACCAGAAACGAAAACAACCCCAAAGAACCACCTGAAGGGCCCGGAAAAGCAGACGAAGGGCTCCTAGTGGCTTCGAGGTTTAGGGTTTAGGGTTTAGGGTTTTAGGGTTTAGGGTTTAGGGTTTAGGGTTTTAGGGTTTAGGGTTTTAGGGTTTACGGTTCAGGGTTTAGGCTTCAAGTGTAGTCATTCAGATACCCTGCCGCGTAGTAATTATGTACGGCGCAGCATCCCCCTGCACTTCAGGCATAAGTGAAGCAAAACAGGCCGAACGAGTCGGTATGGAAATTATGGAAAGATGAACAACAGCATCACACTACCCATAGGCCCCGTAGTACGAGTAGTTCCTTTTTGGGATTCCCTAATAGGATCCTAAACATACACCACAAAAAGGAACTACTACTGGGGCCAATGGGTATTTGCAACAGAACAACGTGGCCCCCGGGTTTCATTCGCGGAGTGCGTATCTTCTCGCCGGCAGAGCGACGCCGAAGCCCTGGGCTCGTCGTGCTCCCGCGCAAGGCCGCAGTGCTCTAGCATTAGGGGTTTGGACGGTTTAGGGGTTTAGGGTTTAGGGTGCTATAGCTGGTTGAAACAAGGCCTTTCAGCACCGAAAATGGACTAAACCCTCAAACCCGAGAGCTGTACATCCGTAACCCCCTGCACCCCGGACCTCAAAACCACGTCCCACCACCCCAATTAAAAAGACAAAGATCCCTAAAGTATCTGAAGCAGGCTGACGATTTGTGGCTGCTGTATCTGGGGCCAACACTCATGCCACGGCACCTGCTTGTCGTAGTAGGGCACGAAGATCTGACACCTTTTGGTGATCACCTGGAGTTTAGGGCTTCGAAAGCATTGGGAAAGTGCTTAGACTGCCACTTGATGGCGATGATGATGGTACGACTACGAAGACGACCGACACCAACGACCATGATGAGGAAGCCGACGATGACGACGACCATCACCAAACAGCAACAGCAGAAGGCTAGCGTTTCCCTCCACACCATAAAAAGCTGTGAACAAAGCGTTTTCGCATGGAAAGAGCCTTGGCTTTTTGACATTACCTTGGCTTGTGCCCGAAAGGCGTTTGAGTTCAACGATCTCTTGCTGCAAGCAGCCGACAAATAAGTTTCACATGACCTTGAGCTTGCCCATATCCCAGACGTTCCGTAACAAAGAACTACCATTGCATTGGAGGTGACGGCAAGGCAAGCTGATTCTGGCCGAGCTTCCGACACCCTCGTTCCCACTCAACATCACATCAGTCAGGGTTGACAATCCTCAGCCGACAGCGACATCGGAACCCTTGAAGTTAGGTTGCAGGGCAGGATAGGGTTTGGGGGCTGCGCGTCTTGCAAACGTTTGGGGCTTGGGGCCGTAAACCCTTTTAGCTGCCTGGGGCTCGGGCGCACGCTGCGCTCAACGTAACGCTGGCCAGCCCAGCTGAAGCGTCCGCCCAGAGTGTGGGGCAAACGCTGGCCGTACACGTTGCCGCCTCAGAAGCCGGTTACCTCCTCGACTCCCGGGATCTGTAAGACTGAAGGACGTCTGCCGAGTGTTGAGTCAATCCCATCTCCCAGGCAATGACCTTATATGATGGCAAACTCTCATTCAAAACATCCCCAGACGCTTCAGCAGCAGCGAAAGCCAGGGACAAGGCCGGATGACAGAAGAATGGAATCCTGCACACAGACAAACACAAACGCGCTCACAGTCAAGCTGATAGCAAAAAGATCGACCAGAACAACCGCAACGCCAGTGGTAAGTATTGCATTTGTGCTTCGAGCCAGTAAAACACAAAAACACACCAACTATAGCAATTTTACTGTCATAACGAAGGAAACAAAGATATTGGCAGCAGCAGTAAGTAATAGCAATAATCACATCAGTATTATGAAATAGATGCTAGTCGAGATAACAAATATAAGATACAACTAAAACTATACAATTATTGTTATCCTGCTTCTTATTGTTTTGGTTGAAGCAAGGGACTCGGTGGATGCCAGCACACGTGACGATTTTACGTGTATGAAACGAACGGAAGTGATATCACTGAAAGACGACTTGAACAGCACGCTTATTATTCCTGTTATTACTAGGATCACTACGACTTGTATCGCAGCAGCAACAACACCCATACCAACCATAATCACATGAATAATGTTGTTCAAGACAGTACTATCTACCATACAAACAACAAACCATCATCATATTCTTAGAATAGCGGCCATTCAACTAGTCATAGTGCGAGTTCATAATGGAGATCATCATCATCACCATCACCATCACCATCATCATCATCATCATCATCACCATTGTCATCATCATCATCACCATTGTCATCATCCCTATCATCGCCACCATCATCCTCATCATCCTCGAAAGCATCATCACGCGCATCACCAAAAACAACAGCAAAACAGCACAATGACAATAGAAACAACAATTGTGACTGTAATAGCAACACTAATAATGACAACTACACGACGAGGCTATAATGTAGAAATTTAGCTGGATTGCTCGAGCCTCGGAGGTAATACTCCGGCAACCTATACACTGTATGTGCGACTAACAGAGGGTG